GCCTGCGAAGGTACCCGGGTAACTTCTTCGTGCGAGGGGGAGGGTTTGCCCTGGCACTGGCCAGACCTGCCCTGGCTCTCCCTGTTGCAACACGCGCTGCGTCACGGCCGCTCCGCACCCACGGAGCGTCCTGCGCGCCGCGGGGAGATGGGATGTGATGGGATGGGGGCCCAGAGCTCCCGCTAGACCCAGGGGAGCCTTGGCACGAGCCAGAACCAGAAAATGAACCAAGAGTGTTCCTGCTTTGCTGGTATTTATTTATACAAGGCCACGTATGGGAAATTTTAAGCTGGAATCTTGGAGGTGGCTCGGTGGGCTGGGTTTTCTCTCACCTTTCCTACATCGTYGCTAATCCAGTTCCTATTGACGCCCCGGTACCTAATTGGGCCTGCAGACGGGTCCCAATCTGCAGGAGATTTATGGAAAGATATTATTATATAAATTTAACACAATACCATAGCTTTTATTATTTGCTGGAAAATGTTAATAAAAAAAMCAAGTATTACAGATGCATTTTAATCCCTGAAGTGATTTTTGAGTAGGATGCATGAATTATTAATTGTTGTTATTGTTATTATGGCAATGCATACCTATCTCACAGGACATTGTGAGGATTAATTAATTCTTGTAAAGATGTAAAAGGCCATATAGGTGTCAAGGGTTATGACTAAAGTGCTTTGAAAATGGAAGCGCCTCTCCGAGTGCCAAGTATTATTATTTATGGAGTCGAAGGCAGCGCGCTTGGTGCTCTGCAAACACTGGTCCTGTTACTTCAAATATTTGCTTATCTGCGCTTACCAGACTGAGCACTCCACCGTCGCAGGTGATTTCAACTATTTTAAGGATGTGTCTTGCAAATATGGCTGGAGAAGACTTTCCAGTAGGYGAGGATAAGACAACCACTGCAAGGGCGCAGGAGCGTTACCACCGCACTGAAATCTGGCTTGTACTGCATGTGCATAAAGGAACACCTTGGGTCCGGTCCTGTCCTTGATCCAGGAAGTATGGTTTGGTCCTATATTTCTTTCTTTTTAGGAGACTTAGGGGAAAATTAGGAGACTTAAAAAAAAAAAAAAGAAAAAGAAAAAAAAAAGAAATACGCTAACTCTGTTTCCAAGAGTCTCTCCTGGCTCAAGACAAAGCCAACTCCCTCAGCTCAGATCGCTCCCTGAGCAATCCCCCATAAATCATAACCTGTCCAGCTACCCAGCATTACCTAACACCCATTCTTGGAAACCTCTACAAGAGAAAATCGCCCTTTTCGGCACTCTGAGAGTGGCTCTGTAACTGTGAGAACGGCCGCACCTCTGGGCCCCAGAACTGCAAAGCCGAGTGCTTATCACGGAAAGAGTAACACCACCTCTCTGCAGCCCTGGGAGGTGTTAGCACAACGGGGCCTCGTTAACGAAGGAGAAAATAAAGCCCTGAGCCTGCCCTGATGCACTCTGTGCCTAGTCCAATACATAATGCTATTCTGAAATACGGCCCGGCACGGCACGGAGGAGCCGTGGCAGAATGTTTGGTGAGCACAAGACCACAGAGAGTCTTTGCTCCGCAGACAGATGGGACAGGAGTGTTTGTAGCTTCTGGGGGACAAACAAGGCCCGATTGGGGTTTCCCCTCTTCCATCTCTCGCAGCCTGCCTATTCATGGCCTTCTTTACACCTTCCTTCCTATCTCAGGGGCTTCTTGCAGCTCTCCTTCTTCATGTCCCTGGTGCCCACAGGCCCCCACATTCGGTCCCCTATCTTCTTTCCTCCAGCTTCAGGCCATGTGCATCGCCCCGTTCCCCATTTCTCTACCCGCTCTTATGGCTTATCTTCTTTGACCTAGGAAATAAGGCATTTGGAGCACCAAGAGGTGCTCATTGCCTTGCCTTGGAGGCATGGGCAGATCTGAGATGATAACGTAAGAAGGTGCAAATGGCTCCCTTGACACCTTTTCCCTGTTTTAAAATTGCCATTCTTTCACAAAAACAGTAGGGCTTGTCCCTCGGTGGCAACAACTTTCCCTGAGAATAAAAATGGAATTGGGCTGGATCTGGTCTTCACAAATTGTCACATTTTGTACATTGGCAAAACCGACTGCCRATATGCCATCCTGTTGAGAAGAGAAAGTTGCCAAAGTTGCCCACTTGGGCCATTGAAATCAGTGCAGAAATAACATTAAGTGCTATGAAATCACAAACATGCTCCCGTGCTTTCTGTAGATGTCAGTTCCCTCATATAATCCAGGTCTCTTCAAGCAAGTGGACTGAGGCCCTGGTGCTTTGAGCTAGTCTGCACTCAGAATGAAGAACATTGGCAATGCAAAAATCTCCTTTCTGCAAATATTCAAATATTGTTCTTCATAAAAAGCAGGAAAAGCACACAGGCCTGATCCTGGAGAAAAAAAAAAAAAAAAGAAATACAAAGCTACTTTTGGAGGCCCATGTGGAGAAGTGCAGTGATTTGGAGGCACTGTTTGGGGTTAGGCGCCTTGGGAATGACACCATTCGTGGGCCGTCGTGTTTGTGGTTACTCTGCACAAGTGCCCGTGTCTGTGTGCACGAGTGCTGGGTCAGAGCCCCTGAGCATGGAGAGTGTGAAATGATATTGCCAAAAAAAAAAAAAAAGGAATTTTAAGATGGACTGTTTGGTGATGAATGTGCTTTAGATTGACAAAGTTTGCTTTTGAAAGACACACAGAATAGACAATAGCATTTAAATCCTAAAAACGATCAGCAGGCACATGGGATGCACGTTACTGCTCTAAGAGGATTATTTTCATTATAAAAAATAAATGGCAGGGTGGAAGCAGCGGCGGGTGCGAGCGGCCCTACTGCGCGCGCTGCCCGCAGCGAAGGCGGCCTGAGCCCCACATGGCCGGAGCGCCGTGGGGAAGGGGCGCCCGGGACGCTCGGAGCGCCGTGGGGAASGGGATCCCGGGACGCTCGGAGCGCCGTGGGGAAGGGGATCCTGAGACACCCCACGGCGTGTTCGACACTGTGGGACCCCAACTGCGGGTCTGGGGAAACGCTCTGCCGGCCCCACGCCACCGTGGGGCTGCCGGCCACGTGTGTGGGCACGAGCCCCCCTGCACCTAGGTGTCGGCCGCCCCRCCTTGTGCCACTTGTGTGATTTTGCCCTAGTTTTCCTGATTTTGCCCATTTTCCTGAGAACGCCCGTTCTGGGGGAGCGAGGCCTGGCAGGCTGTGTTCCGCATGGCGAGCGCGGGGCTGCTCCGTGGCGCCTGGCACCGCGGCTGTGCTGCGGGGAGGCCCTTTCCGGGCTCCGTGTGTGTTGTTCCGTGTGTGTGTGTTGCTGTATGTGTGTGTGTGTTGGTGTGTGCTGTGTGT